ATAAACAACTCTTTTCCCAGTTTCACTCTATGCTTCTCCGTTTCAGTACCTAAGCCCAAAACTCAAATCAGTTTTGACTTTTCATGCTGCTCTCACATGCATTAAATCCACCAGAAAATACTGTTTATTGTGGAAAATAAAGGAATGCAGATATTAAATATGGAGGTATCTTTGGTCTGGGATACATTAAAAGAAATATTGAGTTTACACAATAAAAATTTATCCTCTCTGTTCTTCCGTGATCATTACATTCCCACATATTGTATGCCTATTTCAGAGAACATTTTAAAAGAGGGGTCTCTATTGGGTAGTATCTAGCAATTAGGCAGAATAGAAATTAATTCAAAACTACTTACAAAAGGGAATGGAGAAAATGAAGATTACATCCAGAGCGATCAGACCTAAAGATAGAAGCAAAAGAAAAAAATGACCACAAGGTGGAGCTAGAGGATAAATACATGATAGACTTTATTTTGGGTTTTTTTCTTGTTTTGGGGTTTTTTTTTTTAAATTTATTTTGAAATGTATATTCATCCAATCAGGATAATCAAATATCCTGATTAAAATAAAGGGCTATGCAGACAGATTGATTACCTTAAATCTCAGATCAAGATTTACTTGTAAGGTGAAATGAACACAACCAGGGCCTGCCCCAAGCTTCGCCAGTAAAGATCTATACTCGAGTTTTTTCATAGTAGGTATCATGATCTGAAATTACTTTGCTTTTTTCTTTCTTTGCTTCTTTGCTCTCTATGTTCACCACCTTTCACTAGAATATAAGCTCAATAAGAGCAAAACTTTTGTGTGTTTGTTTCACCATATTATCCCAGAAAATAGAATAGTGCTTGAGACACATACAGTGATCAGTAGATGTTCAAATAATGGATTAATTAATGGTCCCTGCAATGTACGTTTTATAGTGATTTTTACAGGATACTTTATATCCCAAAATATTGTAACATGAATCCTTAGTTCAAACATGCTTGATCACTTTGTTTTCCTTGATTATATCATACTCATTCATACTTCCATAGCTTTGTTTAGATGTTTGCCCTGCCTGATAAAAAAAGTATTTCTTTCCTCTCTCCTCTTCTGTAATCTTTGCCTTTCCTTCAAATCATATCTCAAGGCTTGTATATTCCATTGGATTATTATTGAACTTTACAGATATTTTGTATGCATGTGCATGACAAACTTTCTCAGTGTGGTAGATGCTGTCTGACATATTTTCCCCTTTATTTTTTCTACTCTGTAACAAAATGCTCTGCCACAGTTGTTGTCTGATAGTTATTCATTGTTTAGCTCATTAACTTTTAATAAAACATGCCACTTTTCAGTCCACATGTTTAAGCTTTCTGGAGGTGAAAGAGAAAATATTAATTATGTTTTTTTTCATGACAGGAAATTCTAGCTTTTTCCAAAGATAAACAGTATTTGGTATGTATGTAGAAGGCTAGTAAGTCAGAGGTGAACCAACAGTATTAATGCAGAGGACTGAGAGGGAACAGGATATCACTGATAAATGCACCGAAGGGTTAGCATAAAGGTGATGTGCCTTAAAAAGTCTGAGACTCTTAACTATAGGAAACAAACTGAGGGTTGCTGGATGGAGATGGGTGGGGGGATGCGGTAACTGGGTGATGGGCATTAAGGAGGGCACTTGACATAATGAGCACTGGGTGTTATATGCAACTAATGAATCACTGAATTCTACCTCTGAAACTAAAAAAAAGAAAAAAAAAGTCTGTAAAAAAATACCACGAACTGCAAAATTCTCCCTTTCTTTATATATTTTTTTCAGTTTAGAGACATTATTATAGCATTCATAATAGTCAACATCATTTTCCTTTGGTCTTTCTCTTTTACACATCCACTAGCCCTCATTATATATTGAACAGTCTTATCCACAATGTTATGAATTCCACTGATTTCTTATTGAATCTATATCTTGTTGTGAGTCTAGTGTCTTTTACTCATTCTCCAGCTATAAACATAGATAATGGAGTCTGGACAATCCTCAAATTTGAAAGACTTTATAATGTAGTGGAAAGAACTTGGAAAATAGGTAGATGGTACTGCTTTCTACAAGCAGTATGATCATAGAAACGTCTCCACATTCTTTAACCTTCCCTTTCTACATATGCAATATAAGGATGAGACTGCCCTTTGTATATATATGCATTCATTCACCAAATATCTACTGGATGGTAACTGTATGTCGGTCACTATCTTAGACCATGCTTTAAAATTAAAGAGATAGCTTATGTAAAAGTGCCTCTTAATCTCTAAAATATTAAACAAAGATTTTTATTCCAAATTCAAACTCATCAGAGTATTTGCAGTAAAGGACTTTTTCTGTTATACTTTACTAAGCCAAGAAAAGAGGGGCAATAAAATATACAAACATATCAATGACAGACCTTGTAGAGTGATTAAGAGAAATCTAACAAAGGGGTACCTGGCTGGCTCAGTTGGTAGAACATGTAACTCTTGATCTTGGGGTTGTGAGTTTGAGCCCCACATTGGGGGTAGAGCTTTCTTTAAAAAAAAAAAAAAAGCAGTATCTAGCAAAGCCTTTGGATTTTGGAAAAGAAAAGAGAAAAGTTTTTAATCTCTATCTCTTTTTCCTGCTGTTCTCTGCTTAGTTTTTGCTGAGTAACTCAGCTTGTATTTATAGCATATATAGAGGAAGAAAACAGAATGAAGACTAATGTTATCAGGGGCTCCTTTGACCCTGAGAGACTGTACTCAGCCAGCATATTTCCTAACAAGCCATGTTGGGGGGTTACAAATAAAGGCAAATATATTTTTATGGACCATAGATCTGGACATAAGACCCTCAGCCTGCGGCTAGTGTTATCAAAGATCCAAAAACCATGCATTGCTGAAATAATACAGTTAGTGATTACTGTCTTTCAGTAACGATTTCACTTTAAAGTGAACTTCCAGGAAGGGAAAAATCTTAATTAAGTGAAATTGTGTAATTTCAAGTATGGTGGTGCTTCAATGAAGAGCTATTTGTGGAAGGGACAGAAGATACCTTCTGTTATTCTCTTATCTAGAAGATAACAGAAAGGAAGGACAAATGATGCATTGCAATCATTAAAAGGGAAAAAAAACCAAAAGAAAGTCCACAGGCTGAGCTATAGGTAGGAATGGAATATCATCTGAGGCTTAGGTTTCAGCTTTACCTACATCTGGTGTTAAACATACAGTTTTAAACATTAATGAATCAAGTAAGCCCAGCATATTCCTGGCGATTTGCAAGAAGAATAAATGGGATATTTTTATAACCCAACCAATTGCCCAAGACCTAGAGAATGTGGAAACCACAACAAAGCAAGCTAACTGATATGTTTCATACCTCCTGAAAGTTTCTGCTAATTGAACATGAAAATGTTTATAATAATTATGAAGGCTTCCAAATGTCCGTGGATCTTGCATTTACATATTTGATTTAATTTAACCATAAATTGTCAGAAGTTACATATTTGGTTACTAAGAGAACAGAGTAAAGGTTTATTGAAAAAGTGTCATTTAAATTGACCTTCCATCCTTGTTTTGTTTATTCTCTACCTCACTTTTAAAATTATATGAAGAGTGTAGGGCAAGAAATTTTAAGAGGGAAGATTATTTTAAGCAAACTGACAAAGAATTCAGAGTGAAGAAGATAACAGAAAGGAAGGACAAATATACACAAGATGTACCAAAGGGAACATCAGTAAACAAAATACCTACCATGAGATCTTATATAATTACTATGCTGAAAAGTAATGTCTAACACACTACTAACTAAAGAAAAAATAAAATAAGATTATTTATAAGATAAATGCCTAGAATTTACCTAGAAGAAGGGAAGCTTTTCTGGCTGTAAAGGTTTAAAAAAAAATAAAAAATATATATCTGGGGGCGCCTGGGTGGCTCAGTCATTAAGCGTCTGCCTTCAGCTCAGGTCATCATCCCAGGGTTCTGGGATCAAGCCCCGCGTCGGGCTCTCTGCTCGGCGGGAAGCCTGCTTCTCCCTCTCCCACTCCCACCCTTGTGTTCCCTCTCTCGCTGTCTCTCTCTGTCAAATAAATAAAACCCTTAATATATATATATCTGCTATAAAACTATATAAAAGCTACCCTAATGACAAAATATACAGCACCCTCACTAATATCCTTACATTAGTACATCAGCTAGCCTTCTCTAGCTACTCTAACTCCTTTCAATGTGAGCTACAGTAACAATCTGAAAACCCATTTTATAGTTAAATGTGTGGAATACATATTACTCTCTGATGTGAAGGGCACTAGGAACCTGTCCTTTCCACAAATAGCTCTTCACTGAAGCACCACCATACTTGAAATTACACAATTTCACTTTATTAAGATTTTTCCCTTCCTGGAAGTTCACTTTAAAGTGAAAACGTTACTGAAAGACAATAATCACTAACTCTGTATTATTTCACTTTATATGATTGTTTTTTCTTTAATGCCTAAACCTAAGCAATATGAAGCTTGCCCCCTGTGGAGTCCTAGAATTTTTGAAAAATGTGATTTGTGAATGATGCAAGAATTTGGATGGATTCTAGGTCATAATTAGGAATGGCGCCTTCTGACACAAGACCCTGAAACATCTACTCTAGCTCCTATTAGATCGAATTATATTAGATTTGCTCCTCACAATGGAATAGACTATGTAACTACTCTTGTTTTATCCACGAATCTTCATCAGAGAGCAGTTCATTTAAACGATACGATTTAGACTCCACTAAGGTTAAGATGAAGCATGAACTTTTGTTCTTTGAAAGGATATAATAAGGAGAAATTCCTTCATTCAGAGTTGAAGATAAGAAAACAGGAAACAAATGCAATATCTACTCCTTTACTGCAGGTTATTATTTTTATATTTTTATGTTCAAGGTCCATGTATATCTGATCAGCTATGAAAGGGCCTCCTGGAAGAAAAGAAATCCAAAACACAGAAACAAAACAAAACAAAAAACATGTGCCCCAACACATATGGCTCCACCTTACCAGAGAGGGGAGGGTCACAGACTGGCAGGCACTGAAATCTATGTGTGGACACAACATTTCTGCGAAGTCATTGAACCCTGAGCTCCCTTGCAGTCCGAGGGAAGCCATGCTGGACGAAGATGGATACATCACCTTAAATATTAAAAATCGAAAGCCAGCTCTCACCCCAGGTAAGAATACCCGGAGCCAGGGATTTGGAAGTTAATTATTGAAATAGGTCAACCCTACTTTCCTTTCTCTACTAGTGACAGCACATATAGTTTTATTTTATTTTCCTGATGATCTTCCTGCTCTATAGAATTCCAGTAATATCTACTTAGGCTCAGACAGACTTATTTAGAATATAAGCTACAAAAGATAAAAGCAGGAACATTATAATAAGGCTTATAATAAGGAAAAAATAATAATGCCGGACGGAATAGAAGCCAAGAGAATAAGAGGAAAGAATGTTTTACAACCTCATTTTCTAAGCTGTCAGCAAATGGGTATGATTCTTCAGTTGTTGCATATAAAAGCAATTATTTATGGGGGTGGGCACAAAACAAAACAAAGACACACAAAACCTTAACAGTTATATTTTGACTCAGAGAAAAGTCCGTTGGAAAAGGGTTGTACTTGCTATTGGGAATGGGAATGGGTTGTACTTGCTATTGATCACCAAAGGAACACCAGCAAGATCTGGCAATGAAGCTGTTTATAACACTCAGAAAGCCTTGAGAGGGCAGGGGACAGGGGTGATGCTGCCCTAAAGCTATGCCATACAGCCTGCCCCCTAACATCTGTATTCTATGTCTACAGTTGACCCTGCTTCCTCACCTGTGTGGCGTGTGATGGCTTTGATTCTGCTGACCTTGTGCATGGGGTTAGTTGTTGGGCTGGTGGCTCTGGGGATAATGTGTAAGTATTGATTCACTGCAAAAGATTTGTTCTGGGGAAAGCAATACCTAAGGGTCCTGGTGTATGCCACTAGGTTTGATTGTCACTATGTATCTTTGTTGCTACTTCAATCATTTTATACATGGCTGCCAATACATTCTCAATAAAGGAGAACTCTGACTTTTCTGTTCTGATTCAAATCGCTTTAATTAAAATTATTTTCAAGTTTTTAAACTGGTTTTTAAGATTGCCTAAGGTTTAGATCCACACTATCTTTTCATTTTTTTTCTCCCTATCCTGCATATCTTCAGTTCCAGCCAACATGGACTTTTCTCAGTTTCACAAATAAATCCTCTTTCCCTGACTGAAATTTCTGTCCATTGTATTCCCTCTTCCTAAAGTGCCCTCTTTCCCACTTTGTTTAATGAATGCATTTACTTTCACTCAGAAGCAATTCATATCCCACCTAATTTATATATTTTTTCTTTTTATAAATCTAAAAGCGCTCCAATGTCGCATTACCCCATGTAGCTGTTGCTTGTTTGTGTGCTTGTTTATTTGTTAGAATGTTTTGTTCACCATCTTTTATTCACCTGAATATCATATTTTGAACACAGCAAGAAATCAATATGTATTTTTTAAATAAATGGATATTTTGATATTACATGAAAAACAAAATAACAGAGGTCATTCACCTCTGAAATCTGCTTAGAAATCTGTATTCAAAGAAATATCAAAACAGGGGCGCCTGGGTGGCTCCGTCGTTAAGCGTCTGTCTTTGGCTCAGGTCATGATCCCGGGGTTCTGGGATCGAGCCCCGCATGGGGCTCCCTGCTCCGCGGGAAGCCTGCTTCTCCCTCTCCCTCTGCCCCTGCTTGTGTTCTCTCTCTTGCTGTGTCTCTCTGTCAAATAAATAAATAAAATCTTTAAAAAAAAAAAAAAGAAATATCAAAACATTCGTTTTGGGCACGCAATTTGATCATGGCATTTTCTTATTTGTGACTGTCTCCTTCATATAGTTCACTTCTTCTTTTGGATAACCATCAGGTGTCAGTTTTGCGTAGTTCTTAAATTGTTCTTTATACACCCCTTTACCCAGACCCCTTTGCAGTACTCATTTACTCACGTGCTAGTAAACACTTTACAGATTGACAATTCTACCAAAATTAAAGTTCATTGAAAGGTCTCTGCATCACCCTTATGATCCTGATTACAAATTATTATCTAATTTTTACATCTAGCCGTCACAGAGCAAAATTACCAACAAGTGGAGAATAATAATGTCTCAGGAACTCTGCACCAAGTAGCAAAGAAGTTCTGCCAATATTTAATAAAACAATTGGAACAAAAGAGCAGTGTCAGTAAGTATGGTTTTGTAACCTCTTCATCTCCGCACCCCCCCCCCCACCCGGAGTATTTCTGTGATGTTATCTGTAGGGAATCTGGAGATCTGCAGAAAACACTGAATATGGGGGAAAAGCAAAAGTAAAAAGTATGGATTCCTATTCTTGGTTTCACCTTAAGGCCATAAATGCAGCCCATGTGACAGAAACTGGAGATATTATGGAGATAGTTGCTATGGATTCTTCAGGCGCAACTTGACATGGGAAGAGAGTAAGCAGTTCTGTATTAACATGAACGCTACTTTGCTGAAGATCGCGAGCCAGAACGTTCTGGTAAGGAGAGTCCTATGTCAAATATTTTGGAGTCATAAGAAGAATCTTAAGTGAAACATTTGACGTTAAAATCTATATCTATATTTCTCATGTCTTCCAGTCTGTGCTAATCTGAGAACCTTATCAAGCCCAGTAGAAATGACCACATTCAAGAATTTCTTAGAAAGGGGTAAAATGAGTTAATGAGACTGAGAGTTCTGGCGTTACCTCTGTGACAAGTCATTTCACTTTTCTCAGCTTCCTTGGTTGCATTTACTAATCCATAAAAGAATCTGAAAGTATAAAGAAACTCAATATCATTGTAAAATATAAAAAGCAGTGCCACCCCAATATTACATGAATCCTCAGTTCCTGCTAAATTGTTGAATGATTGAACTCGAACAAACCATGATGCAGACTTTACCTTTTCATAGGCTCTTCCATAGTTTTGGGAACAATCTCATTTGTGAAACACACAGGATTTCAGTTGAAATTTTTCTACTAAACGTCTCCTCTTCCAGATTTTTCTCTTTGACAGCTTCTAACAAAGGCTTTATTTTGAAGCAAAATATGTTCACATCCACTCATGCGCTCTCCCTTTATTATTTAATGTAGCTTTTCTCTTTTTTTTTGTGAATCCTGGGAGCAAACCAGAAACCAAGCCTTGGAGTCTCCCTTCTGCCAAATGATAGATTTATTAAGACATTTTTTGAAAGGCAGAAATTCTCTATGGTGTTTAACCTACAATTTCCAATATGGTAATTATTCACATTCTGTATATTAAAAATGAAAGCAAGGGGCGCCTGGGTGGCTCAGTCACTAAGCATCTGCCTTTGGCTCAGGTCATGATCCCAGGGTCCTGGGATCGAGCCCCGCATCGGGCTCCCTGCTCCGCGGGAAGCCTGCTTCTCCCTC